GAGTTCTTCTTGGAGCCCCGGGAATCAGACCTGGGTTCTCTTAACTTTAAGGAAGAAAATAAAGCCAGGTGTGGTGGCACCTGCTTATAATCCAAGCACTGAGAGGCTGAGGCAGGAGGATTACTGTAAATTGGAGGCCAGCCTGGGCTATATAGTGAGTTCAGGGGCAGCCTGAACTATACAACAAGACCCTATCTCCAAAAAAAAAGTTCTGATTATTTAACTTAAAAAGTAACTTGTAATACCTGTCCATGTAAGCTTGTTTTGTTGGTGAGAGCGCAGAATGGTATAGCCACTTTTACAAAGGTAAAGACAAACTGTGTGATCCAGCAATTCCACTTCCAAGAGTGTATAGAAATGAAAATATGTGCAACGTAAAAACCTGCACATGACTGTAGGAGCTTTATTCAAAATTGCCAGAAGTTAAAAATAATCCAGAAGCCCTTCTATGGATAAACACAGGGGTACTACATCTACATAGATGAAATACTAGTTGGCCAAAAAAAAAAAAAAAAAAAAAGGCCAACTATTCAACAGTTTGGTTTGGGAATCTCAAGGGCATTGTGCTGAGGAGAAAAAAAAATAACCCAATATAAAGAGATTACAAACTGTAAGTCCACTTGTATAACATTCTGGAAGAAGTAAAGCTGGGGACCAGGAACACTCCAGTGACTATCAGGAGTGGGATAGTTTTACTGTAGCGCAGGAGCAGCACAAGGGACTGTTTTGGGATGATGGAGCTGGTATGTATGGTGGCTACATGAAACCATACATGTTTTCAAACCCAGTAATTTAACTGTATGTTAATAATGAAAATGTGTAAAAATCAAATCAAAACTTAGAGTCCCAGGACTCTGAGACGGACTTTCTTTTCTTTTTCAGGTGAAGCTAGTGAACATTCGCAATGATGACATCACAGACGGCAACCCCAAGCTGACCCTGGGCCTGATCTGGACCATTATTTTGCATTTCCAGGTGAGAGTTACGAAGTTTGAGTTGCTGTTGCTTATTCTGAACAGAGCCTAGGGAGCCACACCGCTTTCTCCAGGCAGCACAGAGCCTCCCAGTCTTTCTGTTTGGCACTGAACGAAGGTGGGTGGGTGTGGGGATGGAAACTTAAAATTGGCCTGGAAACAAGTTGTTGTATCCTAAACCCAGACCTCCTAATTATTTGCATAATAAAATGGAGAGATGTTTCACCTGTTTGTGGTTTGGCCCTGTCCTTGGCCTGCTAGGTATTAAAAGTCTGTTTGCTCAGTTGAGTCAACACTGGGCTTTTTAGGGATTTCAAGTATGAGAGGTGGGAAATGATGGCACAAAGGTTCATAATCCTTCTTTGATGTAAGACTCGTCCTCATCTCTAATCTTAAACAAGCTTGATTAATTGTAGCACCTTAGTGGCTGGATTTGTACATGTGCTATAAGCACAGCCTTGTAGTAGCCATCATACCCACCAGCAGTGTCATTTTGAAGTGTTCCCATAGTCACATGGCCTTGTTGCTCCCTGTGCCTAAGATGGTAAATGCTTTTAAAGTTTGGGTTAGTTCTGGAAAAGAACACCTATATTTTCATGAAAATATTTTCTAGCCCACCCAAACAAAGCTGTTACTCAGGCAGCTCACCAGGATCCAGCTGTTGTGCGGTATGGATTAAAGAGAGTGCTCCTTCTGTAGCGGGTAGGAAGACTCTTCTAGAAACGCCAGTCACTGACTCTTTTGGCTGAGGCCAATGTGACATCCTATTTGGATAGTTAGTGCCACCTTCTGGTTTCAGGCAGAACAGCACGTGTCTCTGAATTTGTAAGACCCGGAGAAAACTGAGTGTAGCTTTGTTTCTGGGGCTCTGGTTTGGAGCCAGTGCTGGCACTGCAGCCTGGGCAGGGTCAGTAGTTTGTGGAGGTAATATACATTTTTGTGGTGCCACAAGATGTTTTGAGGCAAGCTTTAAATATAGGGATAACCAGGAATCTGAACTTGGTGAGTATGTTCTGGCAGGGTGGGATCAAAGTCTTTGTTGAATTTGAACAGAGGAAGGTTTTTTTTTAAAAGAAAAAGTTTGTTTGTTTTTTTAGCCACAAACCTGCCCTCACTGTGAGTGCCAAATGTTAGTCTCACAGGCAGGGGGTAATACCCAATGTATTTCTGTTTATCCTGACTACAACTACATCTCTTTAAAAGGGGAAATTTGGCTGGGCGTGGTGGTGCACATCGATTATCCCAGCACTCGGAGGTGGAGGCAGGAGGACTGCTGAGAGTTTGAGGCCGGCCAGTGCTACATAGCGAGTTCAGGGCTGGCCTGAGTCACACTGGGAGACTGTGTCTCAAAGACTGTGTGTGGAGCAGGGATTTAAGGGTCGCACAATGAGTACTTAGTTGTTAAAACTTCGAGGTGACAGCAGAGACAGGAATAATGGAGTGGTTCCCTTCCCAAATAACTCCATCAGGAAAGTAATTTTTTCTTTTTTAAAAAAATTTGATGGGGTGTAGCTCAGTGGTAGAGAACTTGTGTAGTATGGTGAGGTCCTGGGTTCAATCTCTAGCACTGGAATAAAGAGTTGTTAGGAAAATTTTCAAACATTCACAAAAACAGGAAATGTCTGAAGAACTACCATGTATCCATCACCTACTACAATAATTATTAGCTCATATAATTAAAAACTATTTCATCTATTTCCTGATCCACTCCTTGAATCCCTTTGGAGGAAATTCCAGACCTCATATAACTTCACTCATAAATATTTCAGTGTATGTATCTCAAAGGTAAGAGCTCTCTGTTTAAGCAAACCACCAAAACATCACATCCTTAAAGTAGTTTTGTAAAAATTGTCAAATTTCTCGTCATTGTTCAGATGTTCCAATTTATTTCATTTTAAAAAGTTTGTTTGGATTAGCATCTAAAGAAGGTCAGTGTATTGTATTAAATCGCCTACTCTCAGCAATTTGCTGAAGAAATCAGGTCTTTAGGTTGCATGTGTGTGTGTGGGGGGGTTATTTATTTGTTTTGTTTTTTGGCAAGGATGGTGGTGGTGTGTTGTATACTTTTATTGGCACATCTCAGGATGCACATACTGTCTCTTTTTGGGAGAATATTAAGATTGATAAGTGAATTTGAGTGTTATCAACCTGAGCCATTATTTTTATGTTTCCTATTAGTGAAGCATTAATGGTTGTAGTAGTTACTGATCACCATTGCTAGTTCTATTATTTCATTAGAGACTGCAAATAGTCATATTCTAATTCTGCTAATCCATTATTTATTTGGAATACTTTTATAAAGGAGACCTTCACTTCATCAGTTACCCTGAGGGATAGTTCTTACTGGAAAGGCAAAATAGATAATCTCATGTTTATTTCTGTCAGTTTTCACAATAGTTGTGTCATCAGCTAGCTCCTTCTAGAAATGGCTCCCCAATCAGATGTATTGGGCTTTGGGTTGCTTCTTTCTTCTGAAGTTGAATTTCAGTTTCTTCTCATTTTAAGCAAAGAATTAAACAAAATAAGCAAAAAACAACAGCAAAAATTATTTGCAAAAGTAAAAGTAAAGATATGGGAGAAACTGGTTCTGCAGAGTAAGCTTGGGCTGAGTAAAAGAAGAAAAAGCAGGATAAAAGTAAACCCTGGAGAAAGCAGGGTGGGCTATGGTGAGGAAATCCACATAGCCAGTTATTTTTGGTGTGTGTATCCTTTTATACTGTCCAAATCTTGAAACCCCTGAGAACTTCTACATCTGGGCCCTAAGAAAGGGTGCTGGGACCCCACACCTCAGGCCGATGTCAGGTCTGGGCCATCCTAGTGAAACCTGCTGGAGCTTTCCTGAGAGGCCCACATGCAGGGCTTTGGGAACTGTTCTGGCCTGTGTCTGGGTTCTTATGATTAACAGGTCACACCTACTTCCCCAGCCAGCTTTGCCACTCCCTAATTCTCTATGTTGGTTGGTTCCCAGGTATTCCCAGGTATTCTTCAAAGGTAGCCAGTGAACGTTTTTTTATTAATTAAACCTTTTGAAAAATTAAGTTTATTGGTACATTTTAGGTATACAAAATGATCACATTCGTCATAGGGAATTTGTACCTGTACGTAATATATTGACTCTTCCCCCCCCATACCACTCCCCTCCATTCAACCCCCCTTCCACTTGCTATTTACAAAATCTTTTTCATTTTTTTGTCTTTTCATGTTGCTTTTTATTTTCCCTTCTTTCCTTTCCCCCTCTGCACTCCCTTGTTCCCCTTCCCATTTGAACACTTCCTGTTTCACATTATCTATTACATATTTTGACCCTTATTTATACTTTAGGTTTCTCACACCAGGGAAACTATGCTGTATTCACACAGGTGTGTCCCATTAATTTTACTTTTGAGTATGGTCTCAAGGTGCATCTGTTTACCTAGAAATGTCCCAAGATTATCCTTCATTATGGCTGAGTAGTACTCCATTGTATAAAAGAACCACATCTGTATCCATTCATTGGTTGATGAACATTTGGGATATTTCTGAGATTTAGCTATTACAAACTATGCTGCTATAAACATGGGTGTGCATATATCACTGGTATGATGCTTTTAATTCTTTCAGGAATATACCAAGAAGGGGAATAGCTGGGTCCAATGGGACCTCTTGTCTTAGTTTTTTGAGGAGTCTCCACAGTGGTTGCCCCAGTCTACACTCTCACCAACACTGGAGAAGGGTTCCCTTTTTCTACAGCCCCACCAGCATTTGTTCTTGGTTAATTTCTTGATGATAGCCATTCTTTCTGGCATGAGATGGAATGTCAGTGTTGTTTTAATTTGCATCTCTCAAGTAACCAGTAATGTTGAACATTTTTTCATATATTCATTTGCTGTTTGTTTTTTTTTCGTTTTTTTTTTTTTTTTCCTCCAGTACCGGGAACCGAACTCACGACCTTGCGCTTGCCAGGCAGGCGCTTTGCCACTGAGCTAAATTCCCAGCCCCTCATTTGCTGTTTATACTTCTTCATCTTAGGTGTCTATTCATTTCAGATGTCCATTTATGGTTTGGGTCTCTAAATTTGGGGCGGTCTAGTTTTTAGAGTTCTTTATATATTCTAGATAGTAGTCTTTTGTCTGAAGAACAGCTGGCAAAATTTTTTCCCCACATTGTGGGTGGTCTCTTCACTCTGTTGGTGGTTTCTCTTGTTGTGCAAAAGGTTTTTAATAAGATGAGATCCTAGTTGTTGATAGTTTCTGTACAATTAGGGTTTTATTCATAAAGTCTCTTTGCCTACACCAATGTCTTCAAGAGTTCTACATTTTCTGTCTTCCAACAGATTTAGTGATTCTGTTTTAATATTCAGATCTTTGATCCATTTTGAGTTTAGTTTAGTGTATGGTGAAAGATAGGGGTCTAGTTTTAATCTTTAGCATATGGAAAGCCAGGTTTTCTAGTGCCATTTATTAAAGAGGCTATCTTTCTTCTAATGAGAGTGTTGGGCTCCTTTGTTAAAGATATGGTGGCTGAATATTATTGACCATTTTTTAAAAAGTCACTACAACTCAATGAATTTTTAACAGACTTAATATGTTTCAATCAACTATAGTTCTCATTTTCCCTAATACTCAAATAGCTGCAGTTTTGGCCAGTATCAGCCTTTCAAGTTAACTAACTCTCAGTCCTTTGGCATGACCTCAGCAGTCTGTGATCATTTCTTTTACTTCTTGTGTGATAAGGTGTCTCATAGGCTTTTTGAATATTTCCTGTCCCAGGCCTGACATTCTGTTTCTCTGGAGAACCAAATCTTTATTTCTGACCACAAATCAAGTGCTGCTAGCTTGCTTGTTGTTTCTAGGATTTTTCTACTATGACAACTGGAGAGTACCTTTTTTCAGTTTTAAAAACAATCATTAATTCATACTGACATTTCTGAATCAAATTTAGGATTCTAGGAATTAATTAATTGATTGATTGATTGATTGATTTTGGTACCAGGAATTGAACTCAGGATCTTGCACTTGCCAG